TTTGGCTTCTTTCTGCAGATAGGTTAAACATATCAAACACTTGAAACTGCATCTCTGCAGGCAATAAGCATGATAACTATGTCTGCACGCTAAAACACTACCATTAAGAAAGTCATTAGTATTATCACAAAATCTAAAATTACATAAAATAGAAGTATTTGGCTTTTTATAAGTAACAAAGCCTCTAGAAAGGTGGCGATCAGTTATTTTATAACCTAATGAAGGAAGCTTATACGAGTTAATATTGTCAATGGATTTGATAATTGAAGGATATTCGTTACGTGATCGATATATCTTTGAGAAGATCTCTAAAAGCAATATAGTGCATTTTTGAGAAAGCATTCATAACTGCTTCGGCAAATAAGGATATTTTACGGAATGCACGAAGTGTTCTTGAAAAGAGTTATTGTGCTGTTGTTGAAAAATAAAATGAGCTTCTTTTCACAACTGTTGACCTGTGATGAACTTGGAAGTATGTCTTTGAATAATGCTGTATGCTAACTCAACAGGACAATCGCTCAAAGAAGCGAGATGATTAGTAATTATATTAAGTATCAGATGGCCAATCTCCATCCAATAAAAAACATCAGAAAAAAACATTAAAGAAGCACGCTTGTAATTTCTTCGATCAAACCGAAGAAAAAGATCGCTTTAACAACGTAAGCCGGCTTCTTCGTAAGCAGGCCAATCACCTCTGCGATGATGAACTGCATAAATATTAAAAACTAGAAGAATCAAGTTATTAAAGAGATCAATTAGATATAAATATTCAATGTTTTTACATCTGGAACAAAATTTTGATCAAACAGTATCTACTATATCGAGCCAGGCCATGTGCACAATATGCAATATTAGATCTATTCTCTATGGCCATAGCTTCTTACCCAGATCCTTAAGTTGTCCAAATATATCTTTATAAAGATTGTTGAACAAATCAGAATTCTTCAAAAAGACAAGCTCATGAGCGTTCAAGGATACATGAAGAGGGCCCATAATAGGTATAAATGACATAATGAACTGAGGAACATTTTCATTTCTCATAATAAGTCATTGTGCAAGAGCCTTGCGAAGGAAAAATTGCCTGGGCCAGTTGGCAACAACAGGAACAATATAGTTAGAAAGATATCCCTGCATCTGCTCTTGATTATCTATGACTTGAAGTGCTCTCATATATTCTTTTATATTTTTCAAGTCTCCTTTGATAAAATCAAAGAAGATGGAGTCATATATATGGCAATTATTTTTTTTCTTAGTTAATCTATCATCATAACTGTGTATTGTCAACCTATCTATTAACTCTTCATCGGAATACCCCTCTCTTGAATGACTCAGCATACGATCATGGTAAGAAATACCAAGATTTACAATAAACCGCCTATCTAGATGTCTTTTAATTAATTCGCTATCTACTATCTTTGGATTAAACAACCTATTACGTAATATCACTAGCATTGGACATGGATTTGCTAAGATTGTTGCCATATGTGTTGGATAGGAAGTTTTTGTAGTATTGGGATGATGTGGAGTGTGTATATTATGGTAGTCGTCAACGTTTAGTATAAGAACATTTTCCAAATGCTGTCCAAGTGCATTTTCTACATAATCTTCATGTGTATCTGACATCTTTTTTTTTTCGATCTACTGCTCTTGCAGTCGTAGCAGCACCTAGATTTGCTATAGTGTTCAAACCTTCATTGCTTGTTCCTGCCGAATCTAAATAATATGCTAAATCAAACTTAAAAGCATTAATTTTCGTGTTATTTAACGAAGAAAACAAATAACAAATAAAAACCATAATTCTTTTTATGCGATCCATTGTTTGATCACTACGTTGACCGAACTAAGCTGCTAAATAAAGTTGCTCAAAAAATTTTTTTAGTATCGGGTTACTGTTTTCTAAAAATTCTCGCAATTTATCAAATTCATAAATAGGAACCTTTTTTTCTACATGCTCTCTGTTATACAAGATCTTTGCCATCGCTTCTATAACTTCAGGAAGCTCAAGCTTTGCATCAAACGAACTTACCTCCCTCTCAGCTATTTTCGGCCTATAACCTCTTTTCAAGGGATTATCTACAAGGTTCATGTAACATTTATTACATAAAATTATATCTTTTTTCCATTTTGCTCTTGCAAGATCATTACTTTCAACTTCTTGCCATTTTTCTCCAGTTAACGATCTAAATTTGGACTATTTCATAGATCCACACTCTAAACAACCTTTTGCTTCAGACATAATGACACTTGCGGGATTCAAAGGGATTCAACAAATATTTCGAATGGGTAGTACAAAAGCTTTAAATTTACTTAGGATTCTTATGCACTTTAGTAATGTGAATGGGCTGCACGAGCCCCTTAAAAAAGTACTTTAAACTGTATAAAAAACGGTCTTCTAACTTGTGTAACGTAATTTCCTTATATGGGGTACGGTCCCTCCTGAAAATTCGCGTCATCTAAAAAAAGCACATGATAAAAATTTATTTTGATTTACATTACACGGATTGCAGATCATACCCGTGTACAAACACGTGTAAGGTTAGAAATTTTTTAATAAAACTTTATAAATTTACACTCTTGAAACAGCTGCATCGAGAGAACTATAATAGCATGATTAAAAATCCAACTGATTGCCTTGAATTTTTATTGGCTGATTAAGGTAAACGCCCTATATGAAAATACAATCGGTTATAAGAAAATTTGCAAACGAATCAGATTAAATCTGCCAGAGCAAATAACGTCGGAGAACAAAATTTCTTTAAAGTTTCGTTAACTGTTTATTATGTAAATTTGTTACTTTCAAATAGGAAATAACAAATTTGAACAATGAACGGTTAATGAAACTTTAAAGAAATTTTGTTCTCCGACGTCATTTGCTTCTGGCAGATTTAAGGTGCCCTCAAGCAGGCCTACCGAAAAATTAATTGCAATTAATTTTGTCATACACCATACAATTAAAATCAATTAAAATTAACATGAAATTAATTGAAACTAAAATTTAATATCCGCGTTTCGCAACATGAATCTTCGACAAATTAACATAAGGTTTTCTTTAATTGATCGTAGTGCTTGTTCGCGATCTCTATAGTTAACTAATTACACTGAGAGAGATGCTTGAGAGCATCCTTAAATTTGGTATAATTCAGATTCATTGTCGAGTTTTCTTATAACCGATTGAATTTTCACATAGGATGTTTACCCTAATCAGCCAATAAAACTTCAAGGATCGACCACCAATCAGATTGATTTTTAATCATGCTAACTATGATAAAAAGTGTACTGTATTTATTGGAGGTCATATCTATATATGGGGTGTCAGTAGAAACCAAGCAAATTATTTTTAGTGAGTTGATTTAAAAATTAAATTAAAATATCTAAATCAAGCTTGATAAAAAATTTATAACTATATAGAATTAAAATAAAATAAAAATTTATTAAGTTTGGTTTAATAGTTGTTGAGATATTTTAATTTAAAGTTAAAAAAAAATTTACTTAGAAACAATTTGCTTAGTTTCTACTAACACCCCATATTTGGACCTGAATTTGAATGTGCAATAGAAAGAGTGTGCACTTATAGAGATGCACTTATGGAGGCTTCACTGTATGTCGTTGTAACGCATTACTAGTCTCAAACCATGATCCATCGATTCAAAATTGCAATGCTCGAATTATTATTATAGAAGTAATTGGATTAAATATTTATATGACAGTTTATAGTTTATATAATTGCTGTATTTGGAGATGCGCTAAGGTTTTTTAAAAAGCCAGATATCGTTGGACCCATGATTAAGACCGGGTATTACTTACCATTACTACCAGTCTATTTCTTGAATAAGATCTGGGGTATAACTATATTGATTTATTATTTTAATATGATATATCCCCAAATATAGTACCAATTTCTTCACACAGTACCTACGGGTATCATTCAATTTTAAAAATGAATTTCTTGAATAAGATCCTGAGTACTGTAAGCAGTGGCCAATGGTACTACAAAGCTTAACGCTCTATATTTAAACCGAGTTCTGGAACCTTAGTTCAGGTTTAACCTAGTTCGGAACCTAGTTTCTAACAATCAGATCAGGTTCTTCACAAAATGGAATCTAAAGGTTTTGGAATCAAACCGAACCAAAACCAAACCTAAACCAACCTAACCATCCCTAATAATGTGCATAATACAGTATATAATATATACATTGATTGACAACGATATATCAAATGCGTACGTACGTACGCATATATGCTTGCCGTTATACTATGCTTGTACGTACGTACGTACGTATATACAATGCATATCAAACGCATATATATCGATATCTCAAACGCATACGTATGTATATGTATCAAATGCGTATGTATATCAAATGCATATATATGTATATCAAATGCATATATATCAAATGCATATATATATCAAATGCATATATGTATATCAAATGCATACGTATACGTATATCAAATGCATACGTATATGTATATCAACGCATAGAAAACGTAGGCTGCGCTGCGAGTAATACAAACCCTATAAGGGAAGTAGCCAAATATCGGGTAATGTACCGTTTCTTATTATTTCTATTAGTTTTTAATAGTTGGGAAAAGGATATATAAACCCCAGATTTTTCCAACCTACTTGTCTTTTTATTTTTTTAGCCAATTCATTTAGATTCTTAATAACACGATTTTTGACTTTAGTTAAAGGATCTCGTCATAAATAAAATGTATACAAAAAGCCGATTTTAATCCCTTTACTGATTAAATATTTTGCCATCAATATGGTTAAAGAACGAATGAACAAACGACCTTTTTACATTAATTATGATAACCTAATTGCCATAACTATGTTACATCAAAAAAAACTTCGAAAACTTAAAAGTTCGTTCATGAGGTATAGAATTGCGGTTCACCATTATCTTAAAGAAAATAATTTCACTTATTCATGCTCTACCGTCTCTAAGTTGGTAAGCAAATTGTGGAAACATGAATCAGAAAATGTTAAAACTATATATAAACGACTGGGAAACGAAGCTAAAAAAAAGAAAACTGAAACACTGAGACCTATTAATAGTGACTTAGACTTCAAAGAGACACATATCTCTCTTAGTGAGTACGCTGCAGATTTTAAGATCATTAAGCAACAGAAGCTCACACCTTCCTATATGGATACTTATCCCTTGACCAATGTTATTTTTAGTGAAGGTTTACGAAAACCATATAACAATTTATTATTTGATCATTATAACCGTATTCAAAAGTTAGAAAGGGAGCTTTTCGAAGCACTTGAAATAGTAGAGTTAATAAATAAATTATTTTTTACTGTATGATGTATTTTATTTTCGATAACACACGTTTTCTAGACACCGCTTCTTTATCAAATTACTTTAATTATTGTCCGGAGCGAAGGACACTGTTTTTACTACATGTGATAAAAATAACACGTGATTATATCTCGTTTGTCGTGTAATAATTTATTGAAAATTTAAATCGGTGGATATGCAAATTATACTGTAATAAAACTATATATTTACGGATCCATTTTCTATTGTAAACAATATAAAAAATTAGTGTAACATTGTTTTTTCAATAGAAATAAACAACCAATCAAAATAAATTTCTGTCTTGCTTACAACATTCAGAAATAGATAATTTTTTTCGTGTAACGAACACGATTATATATAGTAAAATACTATAGCGATAGAGTTATTGATGCGAAACAGGAGTTATTTGAAAATACTCCATTACGTATCTGGCTGTGAAGTTTAATGTGTCAGCTTCTGGCCCAGAAATGACATATTAAATTCGCTGCCAGATAATAAAAATTATTTGATCATCGCTAATAAAATATGGATGAATCTATTTGTCGCCGGCTGTTACAGAAATCTCAAAATTTTCAAATTAAAAATAACTCAAAATTATGCCTATGAAATTAACTTCTGCGTCTTAACAAAAAATATTCTTTACATAATTTTACTATATATTATGCTTCTTTGTAACTTTAAATACAAATACAGGTACTGTCACAGCTGGCGACAAATAGGTTATTTCAATAAATTAAATAAAATTTTTTTTTTAAAAACTCTCTTTTAGTTTAAAATATAAGTTCTGCTGAGCCATCGAGCAAAAGTTTCAAACTAGTTAATGTGTAATTTGCGGAGGAGATACGATTTGAAGTTCGAAAATCTTATATGAAACGATTATAAAAAATTATCGATTGTTCAACAGAATCTAAAGAATTTTCCAGATCATCGTGATTGTTACACGAAAAAAATATCTGTTATATAGGACTATATACACATATTTGATCCACATAGTACATCGACAACTCCATTACAACATGCATACATACATATTATATACGTATTAAAATGATAAAGCACAACATTGCGGCATTGAATCTGACCAACTTCCCTTTTAAGTTTCGAATTTTGTATATGCCCAAGTTCTATATATTATTTTTTTCAGTAAAATTATATAAAGAATGATAAAAAATGTAGCATCATTTTTTTATTCACACATTGTAGTTACCACCTTTGCTCTAAGGACTTTTCGTTTTTCGAAAAAATGGGTAAGGCTAAACACGAAGCGGGAGTCATAAATTATCAAACTTATCATAAGAATTCCTCGAGACCACACTTCCCACTTAATAAAGAAGATTTAAAAAACTATATAGAACATATAGTTAACAAAAGATTAAGTCGTTGTACTTTTAAACAATATATACGCCACATCAAAAAACATCATATCAATATCGATGAAAAGGGTTCGTGGAATTCTAAAGAATTTGATCCTGTAATCCAAAACGGTCTAGACAAGCTAAGTGATAGAAGCCTAAGACCTTTTGATAGTAAGTAAATTGAAATTATCCCATTACTCTTGCATATCGGCTGATTTGGTTTTGGGGTTTTTTTTCGATAAACTGTTACACGAAAGTTTGCCGTTGAAAAAGTAACAAACGAAGCACTTGTTACAATTAATAAAAGAGCTTTTTTAACGTCTGTACAAGATAAAAAACCAATAAAAATCAATAAAAAAGCTCTGCTAAGCTGTAGAAAGAAGTACTTTTATCGTTTGTTGAAATACTCGGGGGTTTTATGATGGTAACTATCAAGGGTAAATTCGGAAGCTAATTTTCAAAAAACGACCTTTTAAACTTACTTTTGACTTTTAAATACATGGATTTCGTAACTTTCTACATAGTTATAAATGCAAAGCTGGTTAAAAAGGCCGTTTTTGTGAAAATTCGTTTTGTAGTAAATCCTCGATTATGATTAGTCGATTTTGGGTCAAAACAAATCGGCCGATATGATATTTTACGTATTGAATGCTTAATATTTTTATCATGGCGACCAGCTTCTTTTAACGATGTTCAGGGTATTAATTCCTCCGTGCAGCCACTGGGTGGCCAGCCTTATATCAATGATATTCCCTCTATACAACCTGTGCAGCCACTGAGTGGCCAGCCTTCTATCAATGATATTCCCTTTATGCAACCCGTACAGCCACTGAGCGGCCAGCCTTCTATCAATGATATTCTTTCTATGCAACCCGTACAGCCACTGAGTGGCCAGCCTTCTATCAATGATATTCTTTCTATGCAACCCGTACAGCCACTGAGTGGCCAACCTTCTATCAATGATATTCTGGGTACCTTTCAATCTGGTCAAGATTGCGATGACTACATGCAGCAGTTTAATGATGAACATATTACTTTAGAAAACTTGCTGCTCATTGATCCATCCCAAATTCCGGGTCAAGTTTCTTTACAAGACTCATCAGCATCGGGCACGGTTTTTACTGATCATACTGATCTTTCTCAATTTGGTCAAGGTCTTGATGACCATGACAATGTACTTTTAACACAACGAATACAATCCCAAATTGGTAAAGCACTGCAATTAAATCTATTTTACTTTTTCACCTTAAATATTTTATGGATAAATTTTACTTTTATATCCAATAATTAGAACATAAAAATAATCGTATTCAGGAATTGAAGAACCGTTTTGACCAAGAAGCCCAGCGGATAAACAATCAGTTCAATCAGAATATCCAACAATTGCGTAATCAGAGAAAACATTCCAACGAAGAGTTTCTAAAATTGAACAACCAGAAAGTTCAACAAATGAAAGATCAGTTTGATCAGAAAATCCGACAATTGAACAATCAGTTTAATCAGGATACCCAACAATTGATCAATCATTTCAACCAAGAGTTACAATTGATCAACCAAAATGAACAATCTATAAACTAGGAAGTCTAAGAATTCTAAACAATGTTTAAGGATTTGATAACACTCAAGAGCATCTTTATCTGTTATGTTGACATTTTATGGGTTAGATGGCTTATTGGTTACACCACTTGGTAATATTGTGTATCAATGTTGTTTTCCTTGTATTTTTTACAATATGCTTTGGGTATTTATAATTGGTATTGTTACACCCGGAACTACCTCTAATAAGTCCGGTATAACGTTTTACTATAGCGACGGATAGGTTAATTAATTTAATAGCGAATGCCGATTTATGCTAAGTAAACTATAGGGTTAGTGCAGTTACGCTTTTAAGAGGATTGAGTGATTTGCAGTTACGAAAGAGGCAGACGGCTAAATGTATGTGAAGATACAGATAGTCGTATCAACAAGTTTACAGTTTGTTCAATAGAGTTTTCGGGTTATACGTGTATGAAGACACGATTACTCTTTAGGGTTTATTCAATAAAGTTTTCGATTGTTCGTGTATGAAGACACGACTACTCTTTATTTATTATTGAGTTGTTGCGGGAACTTCGAGTTCTGTCCTTTACAAGAGTAATTTCTAAGTCTATTTATACCTTTGAACTTCCGATTTCTGTTACTATTTTTACAAATTACAAATTTACTAGAAACGGAAGACATTAACGCTATTAATGTAATAAGTGCTTTAGAACTACTGGTCCTATCTGCGCTAGTTAACGCTAACTAGCGCTACTTAGCACTCTTGGCATTAGTGTTACATTCCGCTTAATATCACATGATATTAAATTACAGGGGTTAACAGTATACATCGAGATTTGTGCTTTATATATATATGATTCTTTGAGGATTATATCTTCTGGCTGTTTTATATGTTGTTTCTTTTTTAAAAGTTTATGCTCTTGATTTGTTTTTATAGCATCTTCGACTTCACTTTTCGGAAAAACACGGGCTTTGTCATATGATAATTAACCAATCAAAACTGCTTTATCAACACATGATCAAAACAGTTTGAACTAAGGCAGCCAATCAACGGGCATTACTCGTATATTACGATTTCGTTCAAAAATTAACTTTGAAGTAAAATAACTCGCGTTGTAAAGAAATCAGACTATTCATCCACATTATAACAGCAATTTTACAATTGTAAAAACTCACTTAAAAGATTTTTTAATACAAGTTACACCCTTCAATAGTTTTTCTTGAAATCTTGCGTAATTAATAAAACTAAACTATTGTACATATTAAATTATTCTACTATGTCAAATATCTTTTAAGAAGTATGTATAACTTTAAAAAAGAGTTTGCATAAGTTTGTAAATAAAAATTGACAAGTTAATAATTGAAATAATAAAGAAAAAAAATTGAAAAAACAACGTTAAATTTTGCGAATTAAGTAGTACAATATATTTTTCTTACCTTTTACTATACGGTAAATAATACTTCAACTCTTAAGAGATCTACCTTGTACAGTGCGATGCAACTTGGTTTCTTGACAAGACGTTCGTTATAAAGGTATTTTATTAGTAAAGTACAGACCCTCATTAATATCAACCTATTTGGATTGCTTTTATATCCATGTTGATAGTGATATTAAGGGTAGGGCAGTGTTGTACACGGACGTTGTCCCGTTAAAATTGCAGGGACACGGACTGTCCTGGACAGTGTCCCATGTCCCAGACAATGTCCAATGTCCGTGATAGCATCCCATGTCATATAGCTTATTGAACAACCAATTGGCTAACAAGGCCGTTCTTATTACAATTTTAATTGTCCGGGACAAAAAAATGTCCGCGGACATGTCTGCGGACGTCCCGTCCCAGACTGTCCGCCGTCCACGTCCGTGTCCCATGACAACATTGGGGTAGGGTGTATATAAATCATTTTTTTGTCATATAATCAGCATGGTATTTTTTGATTTTATCAAGAAATTGATGCTACTAATAAAACTTTTTATGATTATGTTCAATCTTTATTAAAATCTCATTAAAGGATGCTTTTTACAATGATATAAATTTTAATAAATATAATGTTTAAAAAAATTATACTTATATAATATAGCATGATAATTCTGAGATACATCACATTGATACAGCGATAATTTTTTTGATCAGAGAATGCCTCTTCGCGGCATTTTCTGAATAATCAAAATGTATCAATGTGATGTATCTCAGAATTATCATGCTATATTGGTATTATAGTGCGGCGGTCATTGATCATAAATTATACTGTTTATGTTTTTTTTAAACTTCTTTAATTCATATGGAGCAAAATGATATAAGTATGGATGACGTAAACCATACAAAATAATAAGCATGAATGACATAATAAAAAGAAAGTAATTAATAACATAAACGGTGTAATACTCATGATCAATAGTGGCCGTGCTATAATTGTATATATCTTATATTTGCCAAAAATTTTTCAAATTTCTTGGGGTTATACAGAAATTGTTGATTTTGATTAGTTTATATCATATGTCAAAAATCTTTAAATGCATATTTCTCATTAAATATTTAATCAATTTGAATAATTTTACTACTATTAGAATCAGAAAAATCTATTTTATAATATTTACTTATAAATTAAAAGCAGTCAACTTAATAAATATTTTTAAAATATTAAAAATAAGAAAAATATATTATTGAGATCATATAAAAATGATCTACATACACTCTACTCTTAACAAAAAATTATAGATATATGAATTTTAATATAATTTTAATATCAGATATACAGAATTCATTTATAGCTTAAATTAATATTAATAGAGTTGATATTAATAGGGTTCTTTATATTGGATATTTATTTTTTTTTTTAGTTTATATATTCAAAAATTCTGGTTTTGTACTACTATTCTATATAAATATTTGTGTAATGTAGATTCCAGAAATCATCAAATTCAAATGTCCCCTATAGTGGTTTTTTTTGAATGTTAATAATAAAACCATGTTTCTATTTTTGTTAAAATTTAATTAGATTCTCTTACAAAAAAAGAATATATTTAAATTCTATATCCTAAAATAACAAGAAAAAAACTCAGGCTAGTTTATTTGTGGTCTAAACCAAGTTCTCTATAATTATTTAGTTATTAGTATATAATATTTATTATGTTGTCAAAATAGAATCTTAATTCTGTAATTTAGAGGTACAAAAAATATTCTTAATTTTTAGGTGCCTAAAAATTAAAAAAATTTTAATAGTGTAGTGGTTAGCCTGCGATAGGCAGTACCAGGTTCAATACCTGGTTGATGTAATATTTAAAATGTATTTATATGTTGCTTTTGAATTTATATTACCCTTACATCATATAAAATTTACCGTAAAACGCAGTGCAAGGTACCCCCTTGATTTAGACCCCCCTTGATTTGTACCGGGTATATTACAAGGGCATTTGTTGTGGTATTTTGTAAGAGACC